TGCAGTTACATTCACTCAGTTACTCAGTTACTTGAGTAACTTTTTTGAAAAAAATTGTGCTTTTACTATGCAGTACTTTTTACTTTTACTTGAGTAATTTTATTATGAAGTATCTCTGCTCTTACTTGAGTAAAATTTCTGGATTCTCTACCCACTGAATAAAGAACAAACATGTTTTAACCAAAGATTCACCAGACACAGACACACAGCTGGAGTTTCTGTTAAAGTTTTATAAGTTTTTTTATTGAAAGAAACTGATTGGGAAACATTTTCTTTTGCCTGATTGTTATTTTTGTTACTGATATTAATTAAAACTCCAAAATTTCAACATAACTTCATATTTTGGTTCGTCTGATGATGCAATTTTTAAATATTAAATGACTGACATTTTGATCAGTTACTCAGTACTCAAGTAGACTTTTTTTTTACCAAATACTTTTTATACTCTTACTTGAGTAATTTCTAGGATGGCTCCTTTTTCCTAATATATTGAAGTAATGTGATTCTAAGTTGAACATATTTTGTGAGTACTCTGCCCACCTCTGGCTGTCAGTTATATTAAAATTCACAACTGGAACATTTACCTGTATCTCTCTGCTTTTCCTGTAGACGTCCAGCTCTATCTGTTCAAACAGAGAGACTGTGCCCGGACCGGAGGAGCACACAAAACCCTTGGAGTAGGACAGGATGGCGGTGACGCAACACTTGGCCACGCCTTCCGTCACATTCCCTGCTTTGATTCGTCTCACTTCCAGGTTCCTGTGCAGTGAACCGAAAGCATTACGGGCAAGTTGTGTGCTGTCTCTAAGAATACATTTTAGAGAAATAACAGATTCAATGGCACGAGTTTCTGGCTAAAACCAGAAAAATATGCAGTTTGTTTCAATATCTTAAAATATCTAAATAAAAGCACAATAAACCGATTGCTACTAACGGTGAGGAGGAATGGCGTCTTCCAAATAGTTGGAAAGAAACAATGTCGGTTTCTTTAAGGATACGTTGGAAACCATTCATGCAATCCAAAAAATATATATGCCAACAAATCTGAAAATTTATTTCAAAGATGCTGTTGTTGTATGGATTTCTGCATGAGCTGCTTCATGGTCTTATTGTTTAGTGTGTTTTGGGGGGAAACGTCTGTGTGTTTAACAGCTGATTTTGTTTGTGATCGGCTGATTTAGATTATGAATATGTACAGATTAATGCCCAGCAATAGTTGTTTGCCAGCCACAAAAAAACTCAAGATGAAGAACTGTTTTATACGCCACAGGGTTGTGACAGTGCTGCTCACAGCGAGACAGGATATCTTATCGGTTCACAGGATTTTCTGAATTGATATTTCAATGGAAAAATGAACTGTGAAACATTGATGAATCAATATTTTTACGTAAACTGATTGCCGTGCGGGAAACTTTGCAAAATAGGCCCAGATAACTTTAGAGCTAGCGAGCGTGAGATACCACAGAGATCGAAGAGGGAATAAAAGAAAAAACATAAATGGTAAAAAAAAAAAAAAAAAAGCTTTTTTTTCTGAAAATATTTACAATCTAAATCATCACAAAGTAAAAAGTATAATTCAAGTCTCCAATCTGACCTCTCAGTCTGGCCCTGTCCAGGTTCAGAGGACATCTTGATCTCCCTCCTCACGTCGCCGGACTCAGACACCAGCAGCCTTCCTGTGTCTGTCCCTGCTATGACTCGGCCTTCTGACACCCAGGTGTGACACAGGATGTTGATTGACTCCACCTTTGCAATGCTGTTCTGTTTCAGGTTGCCTTCTGAGTACCGAAACAGCTTGAACACGCCTTTGCCACTCACACAGACCTGCATGTTGTTGTGAGGACTAAAGCTGATCTGGCAAGACAAAAAAAAGGAAAGAAAAGAAAAGAAAATAGCATCCCAGCACTCAGTGTATGAATGAAGGTGTGACTGGCTCACCTGTGAAATGGGATTATTAGAGTTGGTTGTCTTCACTGTTGCCAAGACTTTGTTTTTCTCCCAACTCCAGAAGATCAACAACCACTCGGGGGCTCCGCTTTGACCAATAAGGTACTTGGAATCAGGAGAGAAAGCCATGCACAAGAACTCTTGAACTAGAAAATCTCCTGCAGTTAGAACTTTTTTCTTCATGCCGTGTTCCTGATGAAGGTCAAACACAGTGATGGAGGCCTCCTCAGCCTTCTCTGACACTGCCAGGTAGCGCTGGTTTGGACTTAGAGCCAAAGCACGTAGGCCAAGGCTTCCCTCTAAACCTGAAGGGGCACACAGAAAACACAAACCAGTAAATAACATTTATTGCACGTGAAGCATAGAGTTTACTTTACAGTTCACTGATTTTACGTGTGTGTAACTACACACACATATCCACCTAATGTATATCCACTTGCCTACAGCCAGATCACTTTAGCAAAGCCAATGACAAGCAAAACACTATCAGTTATCAACTTGACTCCTTGACCAGAATGAATTGATTTTAAATACAAGATAGAGGATAAAGGTGAGACAGTGACTGTGGCCTCACACGCACACACACACACACACACACAGACACGCACACACACACACACACACACACACACAGGTTAGGGTCGACAGCTGTCTCTATTTACACTGCCAACATATTACCAGAGGTGAGCAGAAGACCAAAGAATTGCACTCTAGTAAGAGTAGCAATACATATTTTACACAAGTAAAAGTAAAAAGTAGCCATTCAACAAATTACTCAAATAAGAGGTAAAAAAGTATTTTGTAAAAAGTCTACGTAACTACAGAGTCACTGATCCGATTATCAATCATTTAATATTCAAAAATTACATCATCAGATGGACCAAAATATATTAAGTGGAAATTTTGGGTGTTTTAAGGCCCAAAATGACAATAATTCACATAAGTAAGAAAAAATTACAAAAGAAAGCAAAAGACGTTTTTTTTCCAAAGCTGTTTGAAACTTTAACAAAAACTGCAGGTGTGTGTGTCTGTGTCTGGCGAACTTTTGTTTGTTCTTCATTTAGTGAGTACAGAATCCAAAAAATTTACTCAAGTAAGCGTAGCAATACATCCTAACAAAATTACTCTAGTAAAAGTAAAAAGTACAGCGTAGTAAAAAGTACTTAAAAGTTTTTTATTTTATTTTATTTTATTTTTTTCAAAAAAGTTACTCAAGTAAATGTAAGTAACTACAGTTACTTCCTAACTCTGCATATTTGCCAACAGCCATGTGTAGTGGTAACATTTAATCTGGCTCATGAACATACTATTAGGCTTTCATTTTCACTGCTACAAATGTGCTGTGAAAATGAAGAAAGTGCAGGTTTTGTGGCGGAGATTAAATGAATTATTTATATGGACTAATTGAGGACTGATTCATTTTTCCATTTGATCATATTTGCCTGGATTGTCTTTATTTTCCCACATTAAAATACAGAATTTTGTATTTACTCAGGCTATTTTTGAATAAACAGAAATTTGATTGTGTTCAAATATACATGGTTGAACACAGCATGGTGAAATGATGCTCTACATATTAAAACGCAGAGGAATAAACATGAAGAAAAATCCCCCCCTCGGTCATAGCGTACCCGGAATGAAGCGCTGCCATCTTTTGACGGTGTTATGGATCACACAGCTGTTCCCGCTGGGGAACACCACCGTTTGCTCGTCAACAAAACACAAATTGTTCTTCACGCCTTTCCGGAGGCCGAAAATAAAATGGGGCTGAGATAACACGGTCGACATCGTGTTGAAAGCTGCGGACAAACTTTAGAAAGGGCAAAACTAGCAAACGGAGAGATGAAAGAGCGCAACCTGCAACCTGCAGGTTTCCTCGTGCAGTTTGAGTCATGTTGCTATGCGACAGATCCCGCAATAACCTGAAAACAAATGCATCTCCACGGTTCTAATTCTCATCGTCTGTATTTATTAGTTAGGCCTATGTTCAGATATGTCAAAACTCAGGAATGTAACTATTTCTATTTTTTATTTTTGCCTTTATATTTTTTAAAATATATTTTTTAATAGTCAAACTATGCTTTTCCCGCATTTTTGGAGTACAAACCTGCTTTTTAGCTATAATTTTCATGGTAATGTAGCGAAGAACATTTAAAATGTTTTAAAAGGGTTTTACTTGTAAAGACTCAATATTTTACAATGTTGTTCCTTGATTGCTTCAATTTAACTCCGAAAAGCTTCGTTGCTTAATTGAAGTTGACAGCAATTCTCCCCTGAAATGTCTGGAGATAGGCAATAGCACCCCTGCTGACCCCACTAGGGAAAAGGGTGTAAAGAAATGGATGGATGGATGGATGGATGGATGGATGGATGGATGGATATTATCTCTGCCTCACCTGCCACAAACTGTGCAAAGTTTCTGAAAGAGGAGAAATCCTTGATTCCATAAGTATAACTGTGGCCTGGCGATTCCAACTTTTGATTCTCCTTTAACACGTGAAGACAAGAGTTCAAGAAATCTAAAAATGATTGTAAACCCTCAGCATCCTCTCAAGCCTATTAGACCTTTTACACAATTTGCCTCTAAAACCTCTTTGGACAGTAGAGGCTTGACCATAATGCTGGTCAAGTCTTCGCCATTCTTCATCACTGCTACAAAATGTTCAAGACATTTTTTTTTCGCTGGACCTGCGGCATACCTTTTCATTAGGTGAAGCTTGTCAGCAGATATACCTTTACAGTCCACAAGTGAGGTGAAAGACGTCCTCCATTCATTACAGGTAACTGTGTCTCCGTTGAAAACGGTTGGCATTGGTCCTGGGATTCTGTTTAATGCTCTGCAAGAGGTGCTTGAGAGACTTGAGGGTTTGAATAATTTGTTAGGATTTTGGGGGTTTGACACATTCATTTGTGGCACTAATGTCATGGCCAAGCCAGTAGGGGGTGCTTGTGCTGCATAGTGTCAATTTCATATTTCTAGTTTTCTTTAAGACATTTAAGACCCAAACCTGCACTGGAAAGAGGACACAAACACAAAAGCAAGAAAAAAAATACAATTTACAAAATTAAAGATTTACTGATAACAAAACTGTATTAAATCAAAGTAAGTCCAACCTCAGACACATACATCAAGACTCCAAATAAAGAACCTAAAACTCTAAGGCCTCTAATAGGAGCGAGACATGAGGCTACGCTGAATAAAACCCCAAACCAAGCCAAAGGAAAAAAAATCCAATGCAAGGAAACAAAAATGGGGAAAACAACATTGGGAGAGAAGTTGAGAAGCATAACAAAAGTGAAGAAGCAAAACAGCAGGGTCTGACTACATGGCTGACGACGACGGCTCGCGTTACATTGGACACATTACTGCTTCATTTTGTGTGTCGGATTTCAAAATAAAAGCGCGACGAGCCGTGAGCTGTTGTGGGTAGTTTGGTTATGAATCAGCAGAGGTAACAGCATCTGAGGGGAGCGTTTTTCATCAGCAGTAGCTGAAATGAAGCCAACAAAAAAAGAAGGAAAAACTTCCATTTAGGAATACTTTGAAATGAAACGCTCACAAGGTTCTGTAAATATAAATGAACCCCCATGTTTTGTTGATCAAACAAAATTTCAAAAATTTGCTGGGCATGGACTAGAAGAGAGAGGACATCTTTAAGGACCTCTATGAACTTAAGTCAACTTTAAAATCTTTTCCATAAGAAAAAAAATGAGCAAACAATGAATAAGTGTGTAGAAACATCAACATTTAATCAACAATTTATCCAATAAATCGGACAAATTTAGCTTTTAAAGCTAAAGGGTCATTAACAAGGTTATATATATACTGGAGACCAACTACGTTAAGGTCTCCTTGGGTGGTGGGCCCAGAGGGTGGCGGTCTTGTTCAGCAGGAGATGATGAGGTTGTGGAGTGACTGCTGACTCTGCGCTGTCTGCAGACGTCCATGAGATGAAAGGATCTCGCACGCAGCCAGTTCGTGGTAAAGAGCGCTGAGCACCTCCAGGATGTGCGCTTTGCCTGTGAAGAAGACGGGAGCAGACGCGAGCTGAGTCGGAGCACGTTTACAAGCAAACCAACAGAAACTTAACGCGATTCCCTGTTCTGTTCTGTTCTGTTCTAACAGTAAACGCCGCTGTCTCGTTTCGCAGAACTCGTAGCGTGTTTTTGGCCGTGCGTGTTCCACTAACCGTGTTGTGGGTTGCTGCCAGACTCCAAAGTACTGAGCAACATTTTCCCCAGGGTCCTTCGGGAGACGTTCTGAAACAAGACGGCGACTAGTTTCAGCTGGATGTTGGGTCATTAAAATGCACTTTAAAAGAGAAACATGACCACACACACACTTTCACACATGTGCAACAAGTGCTATAAATGTTCTCATTCTCACACTGTTGGGATTACAAGACGTACGCCTAATCAGAAACATGGGAGAAGGACAGAAAAAAAGCAATTACAAGTAAAGAGGGGAAAAAACACAGTAATTTTGACATTTATGTCATTAAACATGTAATTATTTACAATTAGTCTCATCTTGTAGATATTTTTTCAAGCTGTTTTTGATTATTGATCAATAATCCTATTTTGTGCTCTCAGTTTTCATTAGTGAGGCAGACAGAATGCTGTCAGTTTGAGACCTTCCCTTTGGATAAAAGTTTCAGTGGATTCCATTATCCTGGGTTAAGTCTAAAAGTATTCACACCCCAAGTTTAATGTCAATGTTATTTATAAAACACTTTAAAAACATCTATGAACAGCACTTTTTTGTGTTTAAAGTTCTCTTTTATTTTGACTGCAATTTTTTACACATACCTGCAGTTTTTTGTTTCATAAGTTTTTTTTGTTGTTGTTCTTGTTATTTTTTATTAATATTAATTATTGTCATTTTGGTCCTCAAAAATATCTAAATTTACATTTAACTTAATATTCTGGTCCGTCTGATGATGTAATTTTTAAATAAATTATTTATGATCTGTTACTCAGTACTTGAGCACACTTTCTACCAAATACTTTTTTAATCTTACTTGATAGTTTTTACTTTTACTAGAGTAAAAATAGGTTGAAGTAGTTCTACTCTTACTTGAGTACAATCTTTGGGTTCTCTGCTGGCCATGCCAAGAATGTACCAAGAGAATTGATTAGGTTGGAGTCGTATATGTGCACTTTTCATATAATATACATTTTTGAGACTTATCCAAAAATGTATATCTCTTGATTAAAAAGTACTCCATCTTTAAAAGGGCTATCAGTGCAAGTTTGGTTTATAAATAACAATTTTTTTATTTATTTACACCAGTAACAGCTCTACCATTTCAGTGTTTTACCTGACTAAAAGTACAATTAGAATTATATTGTCAGAGTGAATCAAGTTTTTATGTTCTGTTTTGTTTCATTTTTTTTAAGTAACTTACTGATGGTTCTTATATGTGTGAATATGTTTATGAAAAACACAGAGTAACAGCAATGTTTGCTTGAGGACTTAATCAGAATTGACCAGCAGAATCACAGAATAGCTACACTGAAACTAACCAAGTCTCTGAGCTGCTGCAGAAGCTGCAGGATGTCCACCAGCTTCTCCTCCACCAGCGACAGACGGACCTTCTCTCTTTCCAGCGACTGCAGCTCCACGGTAAGCAGCTCCGTGTCCTCGGCCCTCTGCTGCAGTTCCTGCACCAGACAGTCCTTCATCTGGAAGGAGATCAAAGCTTGTAACTAATGTACCGCAACACATGGATCCTTACTTCATTTTAAAAACAGTATTTTATGTGAACAAGTTAGAAAAATATATGTCAAAACAGAGTACTCTTCATGTTGGAAAAGTGTCACCTAAAAATAATTGAGTAAAGATCCATTTGTCCATTGGCTCTTTGGAGGAGGTTTTGTGTTTATGTTACGATTTGAACAAAAAATAAAAAAAATATCTTTGTCAACGATTGCAGAAACAAAACAAAACAAAACAAAAAAACTCTACAACAATCAAACACTGAATACATAATGTGTGGGTTTGTTTAAGTGTGGAAACAGATCAGAAAGCTCCTAACCAATCAGAACTGACTCAGGTCTCCAGGTTCCAACCCACCATGCAGGCAAAGTGTGTTAAAGGGGAAAGCGACAATCACATCCTGATAAAGTCACTGCGCTCTGTGTGTTGATGCTTCCGCAGCTGTGTGTGTGTTACCAGAAGAGCTCTGCAGCCCTTGGCCTCAGGGGTGAAACAAACATCTATCATGTGCAACACAGCCTCATTCATTCTATGTGACTCTACTTTCACCCCCTGGATGAACACCGCAACCTCTGGGTTGATCACTAACAACGTGGCAACAGGGTGATTTTGCAAAAGTCACTTTAGGCAAAAAAAAAAAAAAAAAAGACATAAACCAGATTTGGAAGTAGGGGTGCACTGATGGCAGAGTTCTGGCCGATCTCCAGTTACTGATCTTTAAAAAGCCTGACCTGCCGATTTTGATTTTTACCAATACCAATTCTTTTTGTCTGAAATGTCACTGAATACAGCAAGAAAGTTGCTGAGCTGGCAACGGTGGGGTGACTGTTGTTAACTGCAACCGTGCAGACATGACCTGGTGGGCGGGGCTAACAGTCAAACCTCTCACTGCAGGGCTGAAGAGGACAGCTGTTGACCAGCAGCGCCACACAGAGGCTGATTGACAGCGAGCGCTAAGACCCTTCTCTTGTCTCTGATTGGCTGTTTCTAATTGGCACCAGGGCAAGGCAGAGGAGCTAAATCTGACCTAACTGTCCTGGTTGGGTCAGAGGTCATGGCTGGCGGAGTGTACCTGGTCCATGTTCATCTCTGTTCGGCTTTCCTTCAGCTTCAGCTCTTTGTGCAGCCTGGTGACTCTCTCCAGCAGCTCCATCACAGCACTGTGACACTCTTCACTCCTTGAGCTTCCAAAGCGAAACATCAGCTTCTCCAGTGCCTCGTCACCACATCTGGTGAAGAATACAGACGAACAGAAGGTCATTCTGTCAGTGTCTGGTAGCAGACCCACAGTCCTAAAGTATTCATTCCCCTTCTGCTTTTACAAACACAAACATCACTGGTTTTTGTGGAACAGGCCACCGTATTTATATGGATTTTACCGTATGAAACCACAGCTGCCAATATTTTACCATAAATTACAGACGTTTTTGGGTTTTTTTGTTTTGTTTTTTACAGTGCGAGGGGAAGTGGAAGGTCCTGTGTGTCCGTCCATATTGTCAGTCGAGGATGTTGAAGATCTGCAGATAGTTAGATCTGTGATAACGGGATTTCTGCTTTTTGGATTTGGGCACACTGTGAAATTTGTAAAAAGCGGGCAGCTGTTCGGGTCTTTGAGAAGACTCAGACTCAGATGCTGGGCGAGCAGAACTGCAAACTGGACGTAATTTTTGTCGAGAGTCGGCTGCAGTTCCAGGAGGACCAAAAGGTTTGACTGTTTGGGAGTCGTCATTGAGATGTACTCTCAGGCAGATTAACGGAGTCGGTCTGATCCAAAACAATGCCTGGACCGACTCCCTCTGTGTCCAGCCTTTTCACTTCACTTCTACTTTTGTAATACGACACCCAGGTAACACAGTAGCACATTTCAAAGGAACCTTCCACCCCAAAAACATTTTCTATGCAATTGTGAGTTTCCTTCTAGTGACCTCCCAGTAGACATGTCCATATGGGTGCCCCCGCCCCCCCCCAGGTCAGTTTACCTTCCGCCACAGCAGGACAGCCTGGTTAGGATCCTCTTCACCTCCTCCACCTGCCTCTGTTGGTCTCCGGCCCGTTTGTCCTCTTCTTCATCCGAGGCAGCCTGGCCCTCCACCGAGCGGAACAGCTGCTCCTCGACCGGCACTGCAGCACATGGACAACGTTACTGCTGCAGCACCGCTACCTGACAACACCTAAAAGCTGCACGTATTTTATTCTGAACTGAAGGACTAAGAGCTCGACAGTCATTCGACGTTTTTGCAATGACAAAAATCTTTTAAGATTTTTTTTAGATTTTCTTTATATGGTTTTGTGAGAATACTAAGAAACATTTCATCAGACCAAAGGTTTTGATTTTCAATAATGCCAAATTTATATAAAGTCTTTATTTGCAGCATCTTCTTTAAAACACCTCTAATTCTCCCTGACTTCTGTCAGCCTGTTGGTTTTAGTGGATCCACCTGCTTTTTGAGGAGGTGGATTTATCAGTGGGGTTAAAATCTACCTAGTAACAGGGAAGACGGTCAGATGGATGGAGTTAAATCCAGGAGAATCCCAGAAGAAAACCTGCAGAAGACTTTAGATAGGGGTGGAGGTCACAGACAATCAACCTACATGCTGTATTCATTCAAGGCTACAATCAAATTGTTTAAATCACGGCCTAGTCAAAGCCCTGACCTAAATTTTTCCCTGTCACGTCATGATTTTGGGCTACTTTGTTCTGTTCTATCAAAAAAAAATAAATAATAAAATAAAAAATCCCCAAAAAAGACACTGATGGTCTGGAGGTGTAATGGGACATTCAAAGGGTTTGAAAACTTTTTGAGACGCTGTACGTATTCAGATAAAAGTAAAATGTGTAGCTACTAGGTAGGCCTGTCAGAATGAGCAATAGATCAATTAATCGTATGATAAATTAAAACAAGCTCAATAATTTCCATTTGCATGATTTATCTTTCCTCTCTCTGTCAAAAACTGGATGATCAAAGTCTTCAGTCTGGTGCTTTGGACTCTATTAGGACAATTTGTTTACAGAGGCGTCACAAATAATTCTGTAGATTTTTTTAAAATTTATTTTGGAAATTTAAAATGTCTTCCAGTCGCAGTTGTTAAATGTTCATTTGAGTTCAAAGTTTATTGCTCTCTGAGAACGTCTTCCCGCATTATATTACTTGAAAATGGTCTCAAAACAACAATATTATTGTTTATCGCGATAACATCAGGGACAATTTATCATCCAGGTGTTATCATAATGGGACCAATAAAGCAAAGATCCCTCACTCTTGTCAGGGGTGGTCACAGCGCGGCCTGTTGGTGAGCGGCGGTCATGTTGGAGGTCCTGGCAGCACGGCCGCTGCTCTGCCCCGGTGCTGCTCGCTGGCTGAAGTCTGGACATCTCAGACCTGAAAGACATCGGGGTCAGAACAGGCATGGAGTCGTTCAATCTTCTACACAGAGCCATCACGACCTGAGATTTTCATTTGCAGTATTTGTTGCGATGACAATGACGATGACGATGACGAGTGCTAAATAACATAATTGTAGAAATCATGGGATTGATGCATTCTGATGGAGCTTGTTTGTCGGATCAAGAGTAGCTTTTGAGCTTAAGCTTTAAGCAGATGTTAAGCATACTTTTCTTTTATTAAGCCTATATTTCTGTAGTTTTGTTACTGGTTTGATGGATTATTCCAATCATAAATGTTGTATTTTGATTAGCTGTAAGCAGGAAATCATCATAATTAACAGGAATTAACCATCAATCTGTGAAGATTGATGTTCTGCTAACAGTGCATGGTTACGTTTAACACATTTTTAATGACTATTGATGTCAACTGATTGCATAAATGAATAGTGGAAAAATGTGAATCTATGGGTAGGTCTGCATGGTTTGAATCCTGAGGATATGCGACGAGAGGCCGTCTCTACGTTCTCAGAGTACACTGCACTGAAACCGCACTTTACATGAACACAACGTCGACAGTTCGGTTGGAACCGATTTGCAAACATGAAAGAGAACATACAACAAAAAGAAGTGCGCGTTACTGCGCTGCCACGATAATTTTATAGAGGCCGTGTGATGCCGTACGCCAGATCTGGGTGGGGTAATTGAAGCCAGACTCTGGGTCTTTGAGACATTTTTACAGCAAAGTGGGTCAGTGGTAGAACAGAGCTGTTAGTGTGCAGCGTTGGGGGGAAAAAAAAACTTCAGAAAACACGGCTTCATACATGCAGGTAGATGTAAACATATTCAGCTGTTCCCGTGCATATTTAACTAATTTATTGGTGTCATAACCAGTTTAATATCTTTTGCCCTGATATATGTATACATATATAAAAGCCTGATGATGCAGTTTGGGTGGATGAGTGCTTCTGTAATGCTTCAAAATTTTCAAACTTTCTTTTGCTGGCTGCCCTTTTTGTTGGGGGGAAATCCAATAAGGGGCCTTCATAAATCACTGTGTAAGTGTTTCCAGATGATGATATCTCGGAGGAGGAAAGCTAAAAGGTGGGGGGAAAAAAGAGAGCAGATTTTTAGCAGCCTGCCTCGAAAATCACCGGGCGCTCGCGCTTACGCCCCGCTATCACAAGTCAGGCGATACTGTAAGACATTTCTTTTGGGCTCTCTTTGTTCAGTAGTAATCGTAACGAACTTCCAGGCAATCAGTCGGAGAGTTGTGTTTAAGTCACTGTGGGGGAGGAGGCCGGCAGCTGTAGTGAAACAAACACAAGGCTTCCTGGTTGCTCTGGTTACACTCACATTCAAGAGCTAACCCTGCTGAAGGTTGTCACACGCAGGTTAACCAGCGACTGAATGCTCTTTAACTGACGTCAGTCAGAGCAAGGCTGCCGTTCCAAGCATTCCTGATGATACAATGGCATTTTAAATGTCACATGAAAACTCTTTGTTTTGCCCTTTAGAAACACTTACACCTGGATTATCCTCTGAAATGCTTTGGTGGAACTTCTGGGAACCAGGGAGTCCAGCTGGGAAAGCAAACACTGATTCTGATTCGGAAGCAAACGCACGGCAGCGGCGTGTCGTCTGACTTCGCCACCAGCAGAAACTCCTTCTGCTTTAAAGCAAGTGAGACCAACCTGTTATCTGTGATATATGACACAAGATTATGTTGATTAGGTCAAAAGGGTCTAGAGAGTGGAGTGTTCCAAGAAAGAAAAAAAAAAGTGACTTCCTGTTCTGATGGGGCGGGGCTTTGATGATGTGAATATATGACCACATCAGTATCGTTGAGCATCCAGCATGGATGACTCATGATAAATTTGATGCATCTGTGTGAAAGTTATAAGGATTTGCTTGCTGTGGCGAGAACACCACGGTTACCACTGGGCCAGGTCCAGGATTTTGATAACTTTTAATCCTCTCGTCCCTTAACTGAGACCAATAGCTCAAAATCCTTGAGGAGTTATTTAAATATGATTAATAATTGCTGAGGGCAATTATTAGGCTTCAACTAAGTGGGTTTTTAAGACTTTTTTTTTTAAGACTCATCCTCTTGAAGTCTTCTTCAAAGCTACCTTTGGCAGCTGGATTCACTACAGGTCCAAGAGCTCAACCAGTATTTTTTTCCCATAAACAAGGAGGCTTATTCTACAGAATTTACCCACACAATGACTGCAAGGTGTTGAGTTCCTGTTCACCCAATACAAGCTCATGTCATTAACTTTCTACCATTGAGCTTTACAGTTGTTGAGTGTTTTGTCATTTCGATTTTGATGTCATCTGTCTGAGGTAACCTTGTTCCCGAGGTAGTGTGGTTTGGTTGGTAAAACACAAAAGAAAAATCCATGTTTTATTTACATGGGAGTAGGGGTTTGGGAGAAGTATTAAATGTCTTTACTGATGTAAAAAGATCGTATCTGACTTGATATGATGTCCAAGACTAGTTGCAAAATGGCTGCAAAAGCCTAAGTAGAGATGAAACACCTGTTATAAATGCTTAGGGAAGAAAAATAAATAAATGGATCTCTGCATTTTGAATTTAGTTCAAATTTTGTATTGATGAACATCAGTGTTCATCATCTGATTAACCTAAACTTTGCTTGTGAAATGTGAATCAGAAGAATGCTGATAGTCAGAGACGAACCATCCGTATAATAAATAATTGGAAAAATAACAGGATCAGCAATCTACTTCAAATTCCTAATTATACCACTTGACGTTGTACCATCTAAAGTAGTATTTGGGTGAGCTGAGACCAAGGAAGTGTCAGGCCTTCGGTTCAAACAGTCACGGGGAATCGGTTGCTAAGATCTTTCTATAGGGCAGACTCTGCGCTATTGTTCATTCGGAGGCAGAATGAAAGAAGTGAGCAGAGATTGATGAGGACCGTCAGCTGTTCAGGTTCTCACTCAATAGGCCTCTCTGTTGCTTTTGTGGTGTTGAATTATTTGCCATCACAGCGTCTATGGAAGAGCATTGAGAAGACTTTGGAACCTTGTGTGCGTAGATTAGCAGAATGTGGGTCACAGGACAACACCTAGACTTCTCAAATTTGTTATTAGAAATAACCCAAAAAGCAGGCTGAAGCATGAGCTTTAATCACATGTCTGCTCATGCCAGACTATGTCTTAGCAGCATAAAGTGAACATTACAAGTATTTAGAGACATCTGCGAGCCAAAAAGCCACAGTTGCGGACACTGATTATACGGTCGAAGCAGGAGCAACCGAATGAGAGATAAACATTCGACCGAAAGGCTTTGTACTTCAAAAGTTCAATTACACCTTGACTCCCACCAAAGCGAACAGTTCCAAAACAAGAGTTTGAGCCAGACCGGCCGGCCGACCGGCTGCACACGAAGCTCACTCAGCAAAGTTCAACAGATCGGGGCTGAAAATGGAAAAAGTTACCCACGGCAGCCCTCCGAACAGCAAGGCACGAGCATCTCAGGCATTAAGCCCAAGGTAAACAGAGTCATTTTGTTCTGCTTTAGGAGGATCTACAACTCATCAGCGCGGGATTTTTCGTCACTAAGGTTCTTCTCGTGCAACTACCTGCCAAAAACCGGCCCCTTTATTTCAACAAGGCTGACAAATGAGCGTTTTTCAAGCCCCAACTTACAAATGGGCTCGATACACGGGAGGTGACGCTAAACAGCTCATACACGGTATAGCAGATGGAACATCTGTTCGGTCTGTTAGAGCTGCCAGAGCCAGAACGGCTCCACAGCCCACACACCTAGCCGGACTTTTCACTAGCTATTTTCTTGGAATATTTTGGCAGTTTTGTTTTTCCTGAATCATAATGTACAATTTTCATCCAGTTTCATATATTAAAGATTTGTTGTTGTTGTGTCAGCTTTCCACACCACTCGAGTCTTCTGGTTCTGCTCTGCATCCTCAGAACCAGAACCAAACCTGGGAGAAGCAGCATTCAGCTTCTATGCACCACAAATCTGGAACAAACGTCCAGAAAACCGCAAAACAGCCGAAACGCTGAGTTCCTTTGAGTCCAGACTAAACACCCAGCTGTTTTAGAGTTGCCTTTGAACCATAACAAATGAAACACTGACCAACATATTTGATGTTTAACGAGTTTTGGCGATGGCACTCGACAAAATGTAACGTTTGTTGAATTGTTGTCTGTATGGTGTTTTCTTTATAAATTTGTAATTTTGTTTTATTGTGCAAAACACTTTTCTGCTGAAATGTGCTACACACAAAAAAACTTAATATTGACGAAAATGCATAGGGAGATTATTTCACTTATAACAAAACATTTTTCCCCTCTTATAAGTGAAATTATCTACCAATGACACCAGCACTTTTTCATCAATATTAAGAAATTATTTACTTAACACAAGCTCCTGTTACTTGCTGAACAGTTAACTGTAAGTTAGTTTTGTATTTTCTTTAAGTGCACTAAGAGATTTGCACTAGAAAATAGACCAAAAATATTTGGTAAGATTTTGTGTGCCACAAACCTGGCACTTCATGCAGAAAAACTAACCCTGAACACAGTTGTGCATCCACAGATTCAATCACTACATTACTCTGACCAGAACTGCTGGCGTATACACACATATATATTCCACTGACTGTGCTTCTGAGGTCGTCTAAAACACATGTGGAGTTGCTCTGATAAACAGCTTAATGTTACGTGAAGCGAAGCGTCTGCACCTGTAGTAAAGCAGCTCAGACTCCATCTGGACAACGTGCCTCTGCAGCGCCGGAACACGACTGGCCTTCGCTTCCAGGTCCTTCACCTTCTCCAGTCCGCTCAGCAGCGCCTGCCGGGCCTCCTCCACCTTCCTCCTCATGCTCGCCTGCTCCTTCTTCAGAAGCCTGTTGCTGTCTTCCAACGCAGCGACGGCCTCCTTACAGCTCCACAGTTCCTGCTCCAGTCTCTGATTGAGCGACACCGTCTCCTCCACCTGCCACTCTCTGGAGCAGTGCAGGTACTCTATCTCGTGGATGAGGTTCTGCAGGCTCTTGAGGTTGCTGTTGGAGCTGTTGGCCACGTTGTTGTGGGAAGCCAGCGTCCGCGGGGAAACAAAGCGTCCTTCTCTTGGTTTATGCTTGGAGTGGCTTTTCCAGAGGCCGACCTGCGATGTGAAGAGACGAGATGAAGATAATCCCACAAACTGACAAAACATTTTGTTGTTTGATTGGTTGACAAAGTTCATTAAAGGAATAGTTCAGATTAAAACAGTCCTGGGAATGTAAATGCAAGCAACTGGAACATCATGAGCTTTAAAGAGCTTGAATGGTGTCAACAAGTGGAGTGATGGTGAGCTTTTTTTTTTTTTCATTTCCAAAATATCTCAATCATATGCTGTTTACTTTTAATCTCCTCTAAAAAATACATATTTAGATTAACTTAAAATATGCTTTCATAAGTCAACCAGCACATCAACTTTAAGAAATAATGGCTCTTCTGTATTAGAACGCAACCTGTAACAGTGGCAGCTCAGTTTGGAAGTCACACAGCAAAAAAAAAATTACAGAAAAAAAAACTAAAATTATATTCTGAAAAAAAAGCATTGTATTTTCAATGTAATCTTAAAGATAAGAAAAGCCTCAGAAAAGCACTTTTAAAAAAAAACGTGTGGTTTGACATAAAGCTATACTTGTGCATTTTAAACTGTCTATCAATGGATAATAATAAATTTTTGTTACATTTGTTACAAAAAAATGAAAGCAGTTATAACTTTAACAAACTTAACAGTATGTCATGAAAAGTGGACATATTTGTGAAAACCAGGAGCTCTGATGACCCTGGTGTTGTTACAGGTCAGCTGGGTTCACAGGAACATCTGGAGACGTGTCATTAGGAATCCCACAGGTGAGAGTCTGCATGACAGCAGGGGATTATAACGGGCAACTGGCCAGCATGTGGGACGGACTGATGTCCCAGCAGACCAGTGATGACATCAGAGGGCACATGTGGTGGACGAGACTTTTTACAGTTCTGAGTCGTAAAAAGTTCTAGATCAAATGCATTTAGTCCTGAGCACTGACTGAATGTTTGAGCCTTTTTTTTTTTTACATGTCGTTTGCTAATTTATCAGCCTAATATGAGAGACACGTCAGACGTCGTCTCCCATCCCGGTTGCAGCTGTTTGCACATCAGAAGCTGCAGTGGTGACTGGGGTAGTGTGAGCAGGAACTGCCTGCAATTCAACAGCCGTCTGATGTTTTCTATTGTAGCAACCCGTCCAGGTCGGAGGCCTCTGTGGAACCTGTGACGGCGTAATAAAATTCACAAACACGACTATTCAGTTTCAGTGTCTTTTACTAACTGGCTGCAAAAATTTGCCGCCACAGAATATTCATATAACACCTGATGTTACGTCACCATTCAGGACCTCCAGTGCCTGTTGGGAACATGCCAGCTCCTCACCAGTCAGATCTTTTAAATACTCACCAGCAGTCTTCATGTGTGAGATTCTGCTCTCCATAAAACTACACTGTGTGCACAATTATTAGCCGAGTATTTTGACCACATTGTCATTAAAGGCATGCTGTCTAACTCCAAACTGGGTTTAACTTGAATGCTTGATAGATTTAAGCAAGAGCAGGTGACGTGTAATGAGGGACGGTGCGGCATAAGGAGGTCAACACCAGACCTGGATTGGAATTACAATTACATTACATTTACTTTTTTTTTTTTTTTAATATGCCTCTAGGAGTATTTTTACTATGCTGTACTGCTTTAACCGGAGTAGTTTTATAGTGAAGCATCGCTGCTCTTACTTGAGTCATTGTCTGGATTCTCTACCCATTGAATGAAGAACAAACATGTTTAAACCAAAAATTCACCAGACACACCCACACACACACCTGCAGTTTTCCAGAGGTGTGTGTGTGTGTGTGTGTTTATATATATAAAAGTCATTCCAGGGTTTAGGAAAACGTTCTTTTAACTGATTTTGTTCATTTTTGTTACATTATTGTCCTTTTTTTTGCTCTTAAAGTACCAAAAATTTCCTGTTAACTTTAACATGCATGATCCGGGATGGAGGTCCAATCAACTGCTCAGTGTGCTGACCTTTCTGGTAAACTGTATATCCGGTGTCATCAGTGGCTATGCTAACTGAGCATTCATGGCTCTGTTGTTAAGAGGAAGGAAGAAAATCTGAGCAGAGTACACGAGGATGATTGCCAGCGCTAAGACCCTCCTCCTGTCTCTAATTGGTTGTTTCCGATGGTGTTAAATAAATAAAGTTATGTTCAAACCTTTCTCACCTGCAGAGCCAAACAACGAGCATCGCTGCTCTGCAGCGCGGCTCTCATGTCCTCAACCAGCTCCCTGAGACTCGCATTCTCATCCTCCAGCTTCCCTATCCTGTCCTCCGCCTCCTCCAGAGCCACGATCTCCTCGTAGCACTCCCTGGTGCAGGAGCCCGGGGAGCCGAGCCTGCAGCCGAAGGCGCGCCGCTGCGCCGGGGAGGGTGAGGGAGAGGAGCCGCCACCGCTCGCCCCGACCGAAAGCAGCGTCTCCCGCCGCTTTAGGGGGCTCCGCAGACGGATCTGAGTTTCTATGTGTTCGCTGTCGGTCCCGACCAGCAGCCGGTCGTTCTCGTACTGGCATCCCGCCTTCGTGGTGAAGTAGCCGCACAGCTTGGCGTGGAAGTGCCTGAAGGTGAGCGCGCTGGGTAGGTTGTCCAACACTCCGGCGGACTCTTCCGATTCCGAGTCCTCGCTCAGCCCCAGAACCTCACACAGGACGTTGAAGTCCTCCTCGGGGATTTTACCGAGTCCTCGATGGTCCAGGTGGTGGAATATCTCCTGCAGATACTGATCCAGTCCGGTGGCCAGGACGATGATTTCGTTCTCCACTCCCCGGTCCAGTCCGTAATGGTAAGCCAGGGTGCTCACGATCCACTGCGTCCTGCGCGCCGGGCGGCTGTACGGGTCAGGGGAGTCGGTGGCATCCATCGTTTGGACCGGACAACATTTCCACGAAACGCGAGCCGCTCGCCTCTGTTCTGACCGACTGACTCCTTCCGCTGAATGTGTCCCCCTGCTCTGCGAGGGAGGCCAAGATCTGACTGAAGCTCTGCCCCCAACATCCACAAGTACACTGAAAAAAAGGAGAGCAACCTTTAGTTAAAAAAAGAAAAGAAAAAAATAAATAAAAGCTTGGAAGCAAATTCAACAAAGGTTTATAGATTTAAAATGCATGCTTGACAGAATGTAATCCACTCTGGACGCAATGTCAGCCTGTCACCAATGTATTTAACTTTTATTCACAATAGTTAAGTAATGATTGTAAAAATAAAAACATGAGCTGCAGTCTCCACATGCCTTGACCTAAACAGATGACGTCTATACAGAGTTGGGTAGATACATTCAACTATTCAATTGAGAAAATAAACTAATTAATTAATAAAATATATATATATATATAAAATTATTTTTTTGTGGGGCTGCGCAGTTGGTAGAGCTGTTGCCTTGCAGCAAGAAGGTTCTGGGTTTGATTCCCGGCCCTGGTCTTTCTTCATGGAGTTTGCATGTTCTCCCTGTGCATGCGTGGGTTTTCTCTGGGTACTCCAGTTTCCTCCCACAGTCCAAAAACATGATTGTCAGGTTAATTGGTTACTCTAAATTGTCCCTAGGTGTGAGTGTGTGTGTGCATGGTTGTGTCTCTGTGTTGCCCTGTGACAGACTGGCGCCCTGTCCAGGGTGTATCCTGCCTCTCGCCCGGAATATTAGCTGGAGAGGCACCAGCAACCCTCCCGACCCCACTAAGGGACAAGGGTGTAAATAAAATGGATTTTGTGAAAGTAATAATTTATAATTAATATTAATTATACATTTATATTTAATTGCAAATAATAATGAATTATAAATATTTTAATAATTTAGTAAAATAATACAATTATTTTAATTGTATTATTTATCTGTCTGTCTTTTTTGTTTTCAGAATATGCCCTGGAGCACCTGCTGAATTTTTATTCAGCAGGTGCTGAATAAAAATTCAGATTTTAAACACAAAAGAAGTGTGAAAACCACAAAACATGCAACCTCAGTTGATTCGTAGCATAAAATCCTAACAAAATACTCTACAGTTTGTGGTTACAAAATAATAATTAAAAAAAAGTTCAAAGCATGTAGATTTTTTTTAACTATTATTTAATGTAACTAATTGGTTGGTTTTCATTTTTATTTGGACTAGATGAAGCTCTCCACAGACTGAAAGGCATTTCAATAAGGTTTTACACACGACAAGCATTTTATTGCAATTTCAGATTCCCTCGTTACTCTGCTGGAGCACATATAGCAAGCCCTAAAACTTCATTTAGACTTTTCATTAAGGGGGTTGCTTGTAAAGTGTCTTATGAAGGTCTCATAATTAAAGCCCCACAGGTACAGCAACGTGTTTAATATCAAAGACAATCATTCATCATGACGGAGTTCTGATAGAAAACCCTTTAAAAAGAATCCTGTACCTTTACCACATTAACAGATTGTTATACTTCATCTCAAGCAGCTGGACCGAGAACTCTGCGGTGGTTCTTCTGCTCTTGCTTTCTTTTGGTTCAACTGGTTCTTAAACACAGGATAAAAAGATCAGTAAAAGCTAAAAGACATAAAGTTCTGGCTCCTTGCAGTAGACTGGGTTCAGAGCTATCTGTCCAAGCAGTGAATATTTCACACAAGACCGACCGGCCCTTATTGACATGTTTTTGATGGAAGCTCCAGATGGTGGAATTTCAGCCAGTTTGCTCATAACAGCCCAGTATTCCCACACAACACCGGAAAAGAACTTTTCTCACAGAAGACATTAATCAAAACAAGTAATTCCCTCGTTTCATTTGCTACTTTTACTCCTATAAACTTTCACTCTGTGTTCAGTTTTAGACAAAGAGCTAAATGCTTGGAGCCAAGGGTGTGTGCGCTCTTGATTCCCAGGTTACCACTCCGTAAAGCCAGAGCTCAGTCCAGACACCAGATCTGTCGTTTGGTTATAAAAGCAGGTCACGCTGTACTGCGTAGAGACGACCAACTCGCCTCCTGTCAACAGGTCTTCTTCTGCTTTCACCATCTTTACCTCAGAACAGCAGGTCGGACGTGAGGCCTGTTTGATGAAGATTGACAGGATCCTTTTGGATGAAGGTCCAGGGATCGAGCGGTGGGGATGTCCAGATTGATCGGCCAAAATTCTTTCATTTTGGATGATTGACAATCGGTCTATAACTGAGCATGAAGCAGATCTTCTCCACAGATCTTTTCTATTGCCACAACTCTCTGTGAGAGGGCTGCGTTTCACAATAGTCAGACTATACTGTTGGAAGACTTTGCAACGTTTATGCTGCATTTAGTACAGAAACAAACTGGTGGAGGCCAAAGTCAGTGCACAGTGAAGCTGTGGACAGTTAAAGGAGAGGAGCCACCAGGACGCGATGCAACATCAGCAGCAGAAACAATGCAGTTCCCAGGTACAGCTTTCTGATTGAAGTTACTTATTTTATTGTGAAAGGTTCTAAACCCGACAGCCGCAACAGAAACATTGAAACGAGTTTACTGCTCACTAAAACCGTAAATATGACAAATCATACTTGAAGCAGCAGACTCCTCAGCTCTGACTGATGAGGAAAGCACCAGCTGAACTTCCTCAGAGAACAAATCCGACTGGAAGAAGCACATATGATCCATCTCCTAAACATGTTACACATGGCAATTTACAAGAAATCTGGACTTTCTGTTAAAAACTGGCTTTCTTTTAACATTTTCTTCACTGATGGTTTGTTAAAGAGCACTTGGGATAGTTTTCTCCCGGTAGGACGGCCTTGTCCATCGAGCTCACAGGTTAGCTCAACGACCACATCTGAGAAAACACAGGAATCGTGCTACGTTTCTCCCACGGCCACAGAAACGGAGGCGGATCTAATGTCACAGGAGAGAAATCAGAATGTTCTTTCAAGAGGGTGCGAGCAAATATAGGATCTGTTCTCCAAAACCGCCTGGGCGATCTTCTTGATGCTGGCGTCGTTGTTTTCTGGAGAATCTGGGGAGGAGAAATGCATTTGTTTAATCATCATCTGTCAGGACTGTGGTGCAGAGTAACAAACCTTGTAAAAAAATATCTATGTCCTTTGAACATTTTGTCACATTCATTTATTTAGAAAGACACAAAGTAGAGCGTCGCTGCAAAGTGAAATGAATGGTGGTTTTTGAGGAAAACAACCAGGGATGGAACCAAAAGGACCATGCCAAGTTCCCAGGACAAATATTAGCTAACCGGTGGCTAACAGAAAGCCCTTGTTGAAAGAAGCTCAGAAAAAAAAACTCTGTTTGCACTGCAACTAAACTTTTTGGGAAACATCCTAGAGATTAAACAATGCCGTGAAGTTCAGTTTACGATTGAGATTGATTAAAAGATTTTTGATCTAATATCTAATTTTTCAGAATTCACAGGAGAAGTGAATGCTGCAAGCCAAACGAGTCAATGCAGTCTGCTGTTTCTGTAGATAGACAATATTTTCATTTAAATAAACTGAACTAAACTGACAACCAACATCGCTGGGAATCTGTGTGTGTGATTGAACTGTAATGATTTACTTGATGTGAACTGGTGCTATATGAATATTTTTGGTTTTGGACATCCTCCATTAATCTAGACACACTCTTAACTTATCCATCCTGTTGTTATATTTATCCATTTTTCAGACACCAGCAGTGACTTTATTCAAGAACAAAATCTAGTGATGAGTCCAGTGATTCTTTTTGGTGTTATTGGAAACTTTTATGGCGGGAACGCTCTGCAGCTCGTTTCCTGTCTGTCCTGAGCCAGTAAATACAGCTGAACTAGAATTAAATGATTACACTCAATAAAAAAAAAAATAAAGTTTGATTAAAGTATTACACAAAAGTAAAAATGCCTGTTTTTCCCCCCGCCAAACAGAAGACTTTCCTAACTTTATGTGTCTATCAGACTTTTCAGAAAAATCACTAGTTGGACAAGGATTTATTAACATAAAACATTCAGATTTGCAAAGTTGAGCAAAAAAAATATGAGAGCCGGACTTCCTGCCGCCACCGTACAGCAGCTTCTGCTTACGTTTCTGCAGCTGAACCATGGAGTAATTGTTCTTGAAGAAGGCGTCGTTGCAGAATGTGTTGGCGAGCAGCACCTGGAAGGAGCGACGACATCACAGCAAGATTTAGAAAAATAAAAATAAAAAACATTTTAAAAGCACCAGTCAGCTCCACAGTGCATCCAGAAGGTTTTGCAGTGATTTACAAATGTATTAAAACTGAAAAAAATAAATAAATAAATACATTTACACAAGATTTCACAGCCTTTGCTTCACACTCTGTTCATCCAATTAAAGCCTGAATATGACGCCACAAGCTCAGCACACGCATCTGTTGGCAGTTCTTCTCCAGCTGAATCAGACCGGATGGGAGACGACCGGGCAGCCATTTTCAAATCTCTCCAGAACGGAGCAAAACGTGGGAAATACTTTAAACACATCCACGTTAATCTGTGGTGGTACAATTTCACACTGAACGAGACAAATCCAACTTTGAAAGGAGGAAAAATGAACTGTTCTCTTCTCTGCAGGTCAGATCTTAGTTTTCAATGAGAATCATGAGAATCAATTTTTGATTCTTTTGGCAAATTAAATTTTCCTGCTGAACAAATAGACTTAAATTAAAGGTGGACTTTCTCTGGGGGATGACAGTAACTGGGATTTTTTTTTTTAAAGAAAGCCATCAGCTGCTGGTAAGATGTTAACTGCCCGTACGGTCTGCGTGGAGTCCAGCTGTAACGGCTCTTGGCCGACACACACCTCGTGGTCGTGATTCCTGAGGCCGATGCTGATGGAGCGGCTGGCTCTGGACAGGACGGCCGTCATGGCGTACAGGTTGATCAGGACGTCCGCCACCCTCTTCAGGACGAGCTGCTCGTCCACGATGCTCTGAAACCGGGTTTAAAAGAAACAGAACAACATGAAGCATTGACTCTTTAAAACCGACGAGTACAGAGGGAGCAAAAAAAACCCTGGTGCAGACCGGACATGTCAGGGAGATGGAACTGTTGGAATAATCCAGGGGGCGCACTGGAGTCACGTTAGAATATTATCCAATTGGCTTCTTGAGACGTTAAGAAATGTCATTTGCATCCGGTTTGACGTAAAACGGATGGCGTGTGATTTAGAGCCAACTGTGTGCAAATGACGAATATTTGTAATTTATCATTCTGCTATGCACAAATGCAGAGCTTGGTGAGTTTTTGTAAATGTTTAGGTCTCCAAAAAGCAAATTCATTTGACTGAAGAAAAAAACTAAAAACAAACAGTATGATTACATTCGGCCTTAGCAGACAAAGGACTTTTTA